TTATCTAAATAGCTCTTTGATCTGAGATAAGCTCAACAGTTTTCCATCTGTTGTTTCTCATTTCGTTTTTATTGATAATCTTAGCAATAGTTTCACATGTATGTTTGGTTCCCAAGTTACTTTTCCTTCAGGATTTACGTGCCTTGGAATTGCTGCTCTTAATTAAAATGACTGAACTGTGAAATTTAGTTATATGAAATTTAATTTCGGAGACATTATTTATATAGATATATTTGTTTCCAGCATGACGTTGCATTTTTCCTTCCCCAGAAAAGGGAGTGTCATTTATTTTAATTAGATGAACAAAACAATTAGTTTAAAGGTCACTGATTATAATTACAGTTTTAGCATTCAAAACTAACGTATCTTACATTGCTTATTAAGTATAAAGAAGAAGAAAGATCTGCAGAACTCTTATTATAATACGATGTACAAAACCGACTTACTAAATATGATTCTCTAGTTTATATCTTTAGATTTGAGTGTCTGGATGCGGTAGCGCATAAAAGCTATTTAGGTAATGAAAGGAGTGACTTTTATTTACGTTGCATGTAGGGAAAACTACGAAAACACCCATGGGTCACATTGAGTACTTAACAAATGTGATGTTAATTAGGTTTATGGTATATGTTTTAATAACAATTAGCATAACTTTTATCAACTATAGCATCATTGTCTAAACTGTGAATTTAGAAAAAGTTAATTTAAGAAAGGAAAACTAATTTAAATTTTAAAAAATCCGAAAGCTTTCAGATTTATATTACGACCAAAGGTTATTATTATTATTATTATTATTCTTTTTTTTAACGTTTTGTGTATTAACTTTATTTATTAAATATCATGTCTTCGCACTTAAAGCATAAAACTCAATTCAACAGCAATATCACAAAATATTTGTGTGTGTGTGTGTATTGAGAATGCGGCAAAGTACACTAGGGCTATCTGCCTAAGGGGAGCACAAAATATTTAAAAGAGCATATCTTTAAAATTTCCGATACACAGTCTCGCGCGCTTGAGGGAAAAAAATTTTTTTTTTCCCCCGGTACATTGTTGCCCTTTCTCGCTTTGAAATCGTTGAGTTGCTTAATCGGAAACTCATAAATACTTTTAAAATCTGAAATAGATAATAAAACAAATTCGAAATTCCAAATCTGGGCTTCCAGATGCCCATATTCGGGTGAAGACGTACGTTATTCAAAATTTGATGGCTCGCTCTACATACCGTTGTTTTATCACAATGCGAGAAACATTTATGCAGATTCTTCATTATTTAATTTCTTTAAATATAATACCGAACTCTAATATTTGGTGGCACAATTTAAAAATTGATTCGCCGTTTATAGTGAATCAAAATGCCAAAACGAAATTAATGGCCCTTCTGGGCAAATTGCCCCTTTGGGCTAAAAACGAAGCAAATTTACATAAAAAATCGCATTTAAACAAAAAAACAAAACTTTTTTTTCTTTTTTTTTGGGGGGGGGGATAATCATGATCTTTTTATGCACATTTTCTGAAAAAAACCTGCGTCATTACATAAAAGCACAAGGTTAGGTTGTTTGGATTGGGCAAAGCATACAAGATTATACCTCTGCGGAAGACTGGTTCGTGGAGAAAACCACGAAAAATACCCACGCTGCTAACTTACTGTCTTAAATTCAAGACCAGGTGGAACTACCAGAATTCATTGGTTTTCACCACTAAACCACGGGTGGAGCCAATAAAATAAGTAATGAGCTGATACATTGCGCGGAAGTAAATTTACAATATAGTCAGCAATGTTAAGCAGTTAAGAGCAAAATTTTTGAATTTTTTTCATGGCAAGGAAATAAAATGTTAATAAATAGATTAATAAATAATATTAAAACTATAAAAATTTATAAAAATTATGAAATAAAATTATTCTAAGATTTTCTACCAATATCGCTTTTAAAATTTCTTTGCAGTTAAATACGTTTTGTAAGAAAACATTTTTCTATATTTGAATCAATATAGTTTTTAAAGAAGTACCTGATGTTCAATAATGTGAATTTTTTAAAAAAAATAACAGTGTTTCTTGGATGGTCTTGATGATTATTACTATAAGAGTTAGATAAAATATAAAACCGGAACTTGAATAAAAATATCTCTACAGTGACTTAATGAACTGAAAAAATATTGCAATCAATGGACTATTTAAATGTGGGCATTTTTAGTAATAACCAGGTTTTATCCGTCAAATTAAACTAAATTTGTAATTGGAATAAACAAATTACATTTACTTTGAGCGTAATGGGTGAAACGGATTTCACTAAAAGTAGACGAGTTCCTTAACGGAAAGGGACTTGGTATCCCAAAACTGGTGAAATTCCCGATTTTTCAATATTTTGCTAAAAAAAAAAAAAAAATACCTTTAATACCATTACTACATTAAAGAAAAATTTTGAAATAATCTAACAATAATAAATGGTATAAAATGGCTTTTAAAAATTTTGGCAGCCCTTTAAATGTCTCAGTGTTTATTTTTTTAATTAAATTCTCAATATCAGCTTACACTCTTCCTATATCTTGTTCAAATTTTCAATCGTTAATAAAATACTTTTTATTCATCCACTCAAGTTCAAACACATTTTTTTTTTAACTTGTAGTGGATGACACTTGATGTTAATACAGTTTTTTCACATATTAAAATCAATTCCTACTTATTTATTCCTGTTTATCGGAACTAAAGTTTAAGCTGTTTTTATTAAATATATGATAAGACTTACAAATAATGACCGTTTATTAGGAATTCTCACGTGCTGTGAAAATTAATTTTATAACAACTTATAAATAATAATACATGACTGTGATAAATGGAATTGTAATATTTAACAAAAATAAGTGGCAACAGTGAGACAGAGTTCTAACGATTTTTAAAGAGTATGGAATTAAAGAATTGTTGTTTTATAGAGTTGGATGAATCGGATGTAATGCCCCATTATGTAGCGAAAATTATCCTCGTATTTCTATGTTAACGTGATAATAATATAGTTTTAAAATATAATTCTTTAAAATATCTCCCGCTTCACAAACGGAGAATGCGAAAAGAAAGCGAAAAACGCAAGCGACGATTAGAGAAAGAAAAACATAGTAAGCTCCAAGAAAAGCTTCCTACGAAAACTCTTTGCAGCAGGTCATGTATAATGTCGTGTGAAATTAGTAGATGGAATGTTAATTGAAGAACTGGACTGTTCGAAACTCCCTGGAAAGGTTCCTTGCAATAATGAAGCATTACAAGAGATGAATAGAATGAGACATTATAGACCACCATCAGCTTCATAAATTAGAAACGAAAAAATGTTAATAATGTTAATGAAAAATAACTAAAATAAAATTTTTCTTTGCTGACCTACTAAGTAGGAATTGATTTAAACTTTTTTATATATATTACTTGTTTTACTTCTTAATTGTTTCAGTAACTTACTAAAAAACAGAAGAGGAATGTAATTAAATATGACTGCAACTATCAGCAATTTTTGTTTATATGTATAAACTGATTCATTTAAATAATAAGTTGGAAAAAACATTTTTTTTTCACTTTTAAACTGGCTGGTTTATATATAGTATATATTCAGCACAGCTAATATTTCTCTGTGTATTATCAGTCAACTTTGCTATGCTTCTTCAAGAATTGAAATTATTTGTGATAAGACACGAACAGAAAGAGGTGGCATAATGAAAGATGTTTTAAGTTGCTGACTGAAGCATTATTGAAAATTTTTCTGGAATAAACATTAAACACCTTATTAATTAAAATGCTAATAAATTAATTTAAAAAGCAATTTATATATGAGGCCAATTGGCTAAAAGATGTGAAGAAATAACATATGCTGCTGAGTGGTTTTAAATCAAATGTTTTATGTCTTTTCAAATTCAAATTTTACTTTTGAAAAAAAAATGAATAAAACGGCAAATTAATATTATTAATATTGATTATAAGTGTTTTAATATCAGTAAAAAATATTGTAAAAACCAAATTATAATCATAAAAGCTTGTAATTTATATTTATATTACACAATTAAATAATACTAGGTTTTATCTTATATATATGTGAAATTAAGTAATAAAATTATTAAGAAATTTGAAATGATTTAATGACCATTTAGACAGTTTACATTCTGTAATTTGCGTTTTTTTCAGTTTGCATTTTTACAATAAACTGTTTTACTTAAATTCCTAAAACTTATACAGATTTGGACTAAATTATTTAATGTTTTTACTGCTTATTTAAAATTATATACTTAATGGAAACAAGGATGGGTTTTGCAAAATACTGAAAAGAAAAATTATTGGAAGTGAAAATGCGATTGAGATCATTCTTTTTTCGAAGTTTTTACATAAAAATGTGCTTTTATTTTTTTTTCTCAGAACCTAATTCATTAATTGCCAAATAGATTCCGAAAGTTATTAAGAAAACTCTTATACATACAATAAAAACATCTGAAGGATAAACATTGAAAATTGTAGGAAAAGAAAGACATTCTAATTGATAAATTTTTCTTCAAAAAATTTTAATTAAAAAAAAAAAATTACAGGCAAAGAATTTTTTTTCAGCTTAAAATCGTTTTGTCTTATAAAACCATTTAATAATATTCATAAAAATTAAACGAATTAGTTCTTAAATACTTGAAAGAAAGTGTAAAATAGCGAGGGATTGCTGGAAAGACTTCAAAACTCGCTGCTAAAACCAAGGCTTTTTGAGTATCTCAAAGCGTTGTCATTTTCATATTATTTACGTAATTTTTCTAACGAGTAATGCAAATAAGACCCTATTTCCCTTAGAATGTGCTATATAAAATCAGTTTCCGTTTGAAACAGACAGTTCTCTTTCATTAGCTAACCAACCAAGATTGGTTTTTATAAAGAACTATAAAAAATAGTAAAATTCGACGATTTATAGAAATTTCATATGAATTTTCATACTTTATTTCATTGAATAACTTTGTGTTTCATCATAGTCGATATTTTTATGCAGCTACCGAAAAACTTCTGAAAAGATGGCTGCTGGTACATAATTCGAATGGATCAGTAAGCGTAAGAAGCCGATGTAAGAAGGCAATCCTAAAATCAATATTTACGAAAATCCGAATGACTGCAGGAATTGATAAACAGAGGAAGGCCTCTGTTTATTCGCACAGTTATCCGGGAAATGTCTCAACGAAAAAAGTAATTATAATTTATGTTAAACCTTTTCTTATTCAAACAATCCTACAGCTTTAAGTTAAGATTTTAGGCTACAATATTTAAAAAACAGGAAAAAAAAATTGAAAGTTTTCAGACTTTAACAGTTGACTAAAAAGGTTTGTTAAGGTTTTTACTCTCTCGCTGAGCTCACATCTGCTGTTACACTTACTACTATTAACCCATTCTTTTTGTCTTTTTAGCTTTATTATTAAATATAATTTTCTTCGAAATTTACAGCACAAGCAATTCAGTAAAGACAATAAAATAAATAAATAAATAAATAAATAAAAAATAAAAAAAGCAGTATCCGTTTAGAATAAGGCGTTAAGTGTTCGTATAACATTTTTTTTTTTTTTTTTTTTTTTAAAGTCTTTTCTCAGTTCATATATAAATGTTCAGTTTTCTTACTAAAATGGGTTTTCAATTTTTTTTGGCTTTTTATTATTAACATTCAGTGTGTTTACTTTATTTATTAAGTATCATGTTCTTGGCGCTTACGCAACATAAAATTCGATTCAACAGCAAAATCGCAAGATATTTAAAAACAGTATATCTTTAGAATTTCTGATAGAGAGTCTCGCGTGCTGGAGATAAAAATACTTTATTCCGTACAGTATTGCTACTGCTCGCTTTGAAATCGTTCAGTTTGTTATTCGAAAATTTGCTAAAGTTTCACAAACTAAGAAATAAATAATAAAACAAATTTCAAATTCGTGCTTCTAGATGCCCATGCTCGGGTGGAGGACCACGTTATTCAGAATTTGATGGCTCTAGGTACCGTTGTTTTTTTCACAATATGGCAAACATGCTTACATTCATGCAGATTCTTCATTATTTAATTTCTTTAAATATAATACACGGCGATAACGTTTAGTGGCAACAATTTGAAAGTGGTACAATACATTTAAGTGTTTCGACGCAAAATGCCGTTTCAAGATTAATATCCTATTCAGGATGAACGTTCCCTTTCAGGCTAAAAATTCTTTTTTTTTTCACCACTTTCCATCAGACATTTTGGTAAACGAAATCAAATTTAAGAGCTCTGTGATTGCTTAATATATTTCTTGAATGTGCATATTCTGTTTGGATTATTGTTATTACTGCTAATATTTTAATATTTGTTTTTCATTAGCAAGCTCGTAGGTTAAAAGAAAATCGTTCTTTTTCTGAAGACATCGAAGAATTTGAAAACGCTGCAAAATTTTGTGATGTCCACATGAATGTGAAATTTTCATTTGCTATCCCATTCTGGTAAATAATGACAATTTACTGTTACATAAGAATAATTTTGTTTCATATTTCAACTGCTATACAAATGTGAATACTTTAGATTTAGAAAAATCGTCTGATCATTTAAACATTAAGAATACCATAACTGTTAGGAATCTTCAGCGCCTGCGCGATGTAAAGGAATTGAAGAATTGTATACAAAAGCAATAAGGAATTAGTTATGCCCTATTAAATTTCAGCAAATAAACACTGAATTACTAACATAAAGCAGACATGTATTCCTGCCAACAGTTTCAGATTTTGCGGATGATGTAAGATGACAGGGGTGCAGATAGTTTTTGCTTCTTTTGCAACAAATTTTGAAATCCCTAATTATGCTGTTTTCAGATTACAAAACAAGCTACAGAGTGATGTTCTGAATATTTGACTTGCAATTAATGCATCTGAATCCGATGTTCTCCTTGTAAAGACGCATACAAAATGTATACTTACACCTTAATTGTTCTAATTTCGACAGGAAATTTAAGGATGATAAAATATGAGTATCTAGGCATTAATCATATATAAAGTATTTCGTTCAGAGACCAAGTTTACTTGTCTGTTAAATAAGTTTCTGCTTATTCCTTAGGAAAAAGACGCATCTGCTGGCAAGTTGGAACGTTATCTTTACCTCGAGTATTAATGGGCGAAAAATCAAACGTACGTACGTACGTATGTATTTCCATAACTCAAAAACGAGTAGCCTCAGAACATTGAAATTTGGTATATAGAACTGTTATAACATGTAAATGTGCACCTCGTATTTTAGTTGCAATCGGCCGCACCAAACATATATTAAATTACCTGCGGTGCGATCTCGTTTTTCTTTATAATGTAATTGTGCATTTTTGCTTTAAAATGGATATGATTACCTTCGGTTAGGTTTATGCCAAAATTGCCAATATTTTTGAATTCAAAATTGTAAATAGAAGAGAAACCGCTAATGTGACAATCAAAATCGTAAAAAACAACCTTATATTAGCGTAGGTATAATGAAACACTCAATCGATTTCGAGGGCAGCTAAAGGTCCCTCCTCATCAGGAGAAAGAAATACATAGAAAGAAGAAGAAAGAAATAGGAATCACAGAAACACGTGGTGCTTATCAGCACTGCACGTGGTTATAACTAGATTTTTAATCAGAGTTGCACTGGCCGCCTACTTTTACTGAGCCAGGCTGTCTGATCAAGCATAAAGAAATATTAGCGAAGTTAAAATAGGGAGCGAGGGGCAAATGCACATTACGCTCAAAAATCTGAACTTCAAATAAATTTAAGAGTAACGGAAGGATTTTAAATAACATGGCGGAATTTGCTACCTTTGAAAGCGAATAGAGTAGAACTAGTCTGCAAACAAGTACGCCATCATTTAATGAGAATTAAAAGTTAATCCTTTCTGGAATTTTCGAAGAATAAGTATTAAGATTTACTTCGTAATTTTAATATAGATATTTTGAGCTTTTATGTATTTTTGCCTTGTCGCGAAGTGAGAACTGAATTGATTGAATGAGAAATACTCAATCGTCTGTGAAAAGCGGTTGCTTTTGTTGTTTGTTTGCTTAATTTCTTTTATACATCGTTCTAGCTTTATTATAGTATTTGAATAGAACATGTGGCAACGATTAGATAATTCTTCAAATGATATAAATTTTGTGCATTCTGAGTTATAATGTGAACGAAATGTAACGCTGATAAGGGAATCTAGCCTTAGAGTGTCGCTATGTTAAACAAATATAGTGAGTTTTAAAGAGTGCATTTATTCTATTACGGTTTAGGCGCTATCGACGAAGTAGATTTAATTCAATCCAATAAGTTTAAATGAAATGCAAGAAAAAATGCGTATAATTTAATATTCCGTACAAGGAAGTTATGCGGTGTACACATCAGATTTTTTATGAAATTCAAGACAAATTAAAACAATTGTGTTTTCCTCACTTGTGTTTTCATTAGTTCTTTATAGTGTTGTTCTTTGCAAATGTTTTACGCGGGCAGTTTTGTCACACGTGTACCGTTCCAAAGCCGTTTATGCTTTTTCAATTCACTGATTAATTCGCGCTGGGAAAAAAAAAAAAAAAAAAAAAAAAAAGTTGTTGCCATTTGAAATGTTTTCACTATAACCGTAACTGTGAGAGCTTTCCTGTTTCAAATCATCCCAATCTCCAGCGTGTACTTACAAATAGCAATGTTTGAAGATTCATTTCGATTGATTGAGTGGATAGTTGGAACTCTAGAATTTCATATATCGAGGAGGTTTTTTTATGACCACAATATGTTTCGAAACTAAATACATATTGTAGCTATTAAAATTAAATATGACATTTTCGAGAGATATTAGATGATTTTGGCTAGAAATGGAACAACAACAACAAAAAAAAAAAAAAAAGCCAACATTTCGGTGTATTAATCAACGAAAAGTATTTGTCAAGTGAAAATTCAGTACCCGTCAACAGAAATTAGAAAGAAAATGCTTAATAACTGTTTATAAAGGATTTTGAAGTGCAAGAGATATAACTTCTCGGTGGCATTGTATTAACTACACTGTCAAATTATTTTCTTAAAAGAACTCAACTATAACAGATGAAAATTACATTAGAATGACTCTTTAGTCATAACAAACTTCTAATTTTACTTAAGCAAAACTTTCGTACAATCTGCAGTTAATAAATTTAATTGTGTAAAATTAATTTACTATCTCGAATAAAATAGCTTAAAGGGAAAATTCAGCTTTTTTTTTTTTTTTTTGTAAATGAAATTATAAGTATACATATAATTAATTAGCGTAGTAATTAAAAGTAGACAATGAATTATTAAACGGATTTTTTTCTAATTTTTTTATAACTAATCTTATTTTTTTTACTTAAATTATAATGAATAATACTTCTTTAACTATTCAGTTTGAAATGTATTTTTACCTACCATGAATTAAGTTAAAGTTTTATCAAAATTCAATACAATCAAAGTGAACTACAGAGAATGGTACATTCAGTCAACTGACAGCAATTTAAATCCGTTACGACAATTTAAATGAAGAACCAATTACAGTTCATTAGACTTAGTTTTTGACGTTTATCTGTTTGATGAAAACATTGCAGTCGGTAACAAAAAAACTCCATTAATAATTGATCATCCAGCAATCTGTTCTAATTTTCTTAATGCCATTAAATTGTATTTTTATTAAAAGTGCAACATAAAAAACTGTTTAGAATGGAAGGTATGTAAAATATTAAAACAATTATCTAGTGCAAATGGTATATTAAGCTTATAAATATGATATCCCTTATCTTTTTAAGACAGTAATGCAATGAGTGTTCAAATTTAATCTCGCCTAATGGCTTTATTTGGTCGGATTTATTTGTAATATATTTTGAACTTAAAATGCATTATGCAATGTTAAGTAATTTGTGATGTTAATCAGAAAGATAGCTCAAAAAATAAAATGATAATCTTTTATTATCAGCCATAAAATGCATCCTGCCCATTCCTTGTAAAATGTTAAAAAGAAATGTTTTAAGTTTCGCTTCCTGCTTGGCGGTCGTAACAGCTGTCTTCAGAATTTGGAAGGTTGTCGGACTTAACGACTTTGACCTGCAATGAAATCAAAACAACGAAGATAAAAAATCGAAAACTGTTCTTTTCGTCATTGTTACGCAAGTCCTTCACTTAATTCGTAAGGAAAGTCCAACTGAATTGAGTAATCTACAATACTAATGGGAGATTTGGACAGCTTAGGGGTTATGTTATTCGTCTGATTTACCAAACGAATCTTAAGAGGCTCAGTTTCTGATTTGGGGCCAATCTTGCTTTCTTTTATTTATAATAAAAGTCTTATTTGCAATAAAGTATTTACTAATCCTTAAGCAATGACCAGGAATTTTATTTTTCATTATAGAAGAACTTCGCTTTTCCGAGATAAATGGGACAGTAATCACCTCGGATAATCGAAAACTCGGTTAATAGAGACAAAATTCAGAATCATACAATTTTTCTGATATTGACAACAAAATTTCTACCGAGTTTTCTGTAACTGCTTATTTATAATTTTAAAAATAAGTGCACAAATACCACTGTTAACATTTTAATACTTTTTTTTTATTGCAAGACAAACTTTATTTCTTTCAGTGAAACAAATGAACTTTATAAAATTTTCTTTGATGACAAAAATATTCATGGGAAAACTGGAACAAATTAACTCCATTAATGCAAACTGTGAAATTTGCCAAATTTCTTACATAATATTTTATGTGAAATTATTTTTTTCTTAAAAAAAGTGTTTAGTTTCAATTTTTTTTTTTTTTTTTTTTTTTTTTTTTTTTTTGTGTTATAACTTGTTCCTTTATATTGTTACCTATAACTTTAGTGTAAAACTTTTTTCCCTGTAACTCTATCAGTCGCCGCAAGATCACGTCAATTTTTGATCAACAAAAGATCTATAAGAAAAGCTTCAGGAATTGTTATAAACTTTGCGGAAAGGCTTTAATACCCACTATTAGAGAGCCATAAAACTGCGGAAAACTGATAGTTCAGCTTCAAAAAGAGTTCAAACAGCGTTTAATTACCGAACGAACTGGCCGCATGGGACTCCAAATGTGCTATAACACGATTCGTGTTTTAATATAATTCCCTATAAAAAGTCCTCCACTAAGGCATCTTTCATCTTTAAGCCCTTTAGTACTTTACCATAATCAAATAAACTGAAACCTATACTAAATGATAGCTAACTTTTACATTGCCTGTTTCCATTTCATTGTCATACTCTGCAGCACTACAATATTTATTTTTCTGACAACTTTTTCGTCACTCAGAACCTAAACTTTTGCTTCATTTTTTTTCCATATTTATTCATGAAATAAAGGATAAAAAGATGCCAAAACGTCATCTTTTTATCCTTTGAAATATGCCTATGAATTCATTGTCAGTTAACGTTGCTTGATCTTTAACTAGAAGGCAAATCGCCTGCTGCGATTTTACAATATTCAGAAATAAT